ATACTGTTACCAGCTGAAGGCTGAGCCTCTGTGTTGAAAAGGAAGATCAACAAGTGTGAGAGAGGCGGGTGGAAGGGGACAGACTGGGAGTTCAAAATTTGCAGATACTGACAGGCATATGCAGAATAGATATACAAGATTATACTGTGTAGCACAGAGAAATATATACAAGATCTTGTGGTGGCTCACAGTGAAAAAAATGTGACAATGAATATATGTATGTCCATGTATAACTGAAAAATTGTGCTCTACCCTGGAAATTGACACAACACTATAAAATGACTATAATTCAATAAAAAAATGTTAAAAAAAGAGAAAGAAAATGAAAAAAAAACCCCAAAAAACAATTGTGAGAGAGGCCTGAAGGAGATGCTGATCTCCAATGGATCAATCGGAAAGGAGGTAACTCCCGCCGGTGGTATTTAACTGTGCCTGAACGACACTTCACGTGATCTCATGGGCCACTGATGGTTGGCGCCCACTTTGTGGACACTGCCTCAGGAGCCTGCCTGCCTCAGGAGCCTGTGGCCAGCTGGCTGCCGGGACCTGATCTCTGCCGCTTGCCTGGACTTCGTCACTACTGTCTGCCTGAAACAGATTTCTGCTGCCCGCCTGCCGCATGCCCAGCATGTGCTGTATTCCAGACGGAGCCCTTCCTAAATGACAGATACGGTGATGGGTGTTTTCCATAGGTTATCTCAATGTTCCCTAGGTTTCAGTCATTCGTGTGCCACCTTCATGATTTCTGCTGTGTTGCGACTGTTCATTCATTTGGTATTTTCCTTTAAATCGATTTGCCTTTCAAAAAGCACAGCATTTTATTTTAAAAGGAAATGCTACATTCTTTCCATAAATCATGGAGTCTAGCGGGCTGCTTATGTTTTGCTAACGCGCATCAATTGTGAGCTATTAAAATAATAAATGTTCATCCATATCCCACCTGAAACCACTGTGCACACCATCAATCACACGCGTGCCAGCCTCTGGGAAATACTGCAGCATCTCAGTTCATGCTCACACATCCCTGGAAGGAGGGTTTACACATAAGAATGTGGAGGTTCAAGTCCTGAACCTGAAGTCCTGCAGGTGGGAAGGCTTGGGGCTGAGATCTGAATCCAGACCACCTCACTTAAAATGCCTAGGCTATTTCAACACTAGTGCTTTATAAATGCATTTTTTTTTTACATCCAAAGAATCTTTTAAACATGAAAATGTGTGTGGACATCCAATGTATAAAGCAGATAATATTGGAGCTTTTTAAAATTTAAATGGGATTTTGGGGGAAGTTTTGGGGGAACTTCTCTTTCTCAAACTCATCTTACAGTGCCCCATGAGAGCCTGTCCCAGAAGTCCAGGACTCTGAGGAATATTATTTTTAACTTATGCTGTACCACCGTGTCTCTTAATTCCATTTAGTCCAATTTTTCCTGTAAGCCATACTCCTGAGGGGCAACTTGGAGTCTATGCTGCCCTTTCTGGCTGGACGTCTCTACCCTGAACTTTTGCCATCTTGAAATCCTGAAAATTTCCATCTTTCCCTCTTGAAATCTTCCACTGGCACCGTAAGTCTCACTCTGGCCTAATTACTCATGCATTGAACACTGATGTCTAACCTGCACCCAGAGTTTTAGATGGCACAAGGCAGGGACTGAGCAGAATTGATGTAGTATTTCTGATGGCTCCTCAAGCCAGTATGGGAGACGGATACGCACAGACACAGCTGAATACGATAAGGTTTTGGGAAGCCACAACTCACAGGAATCTATTTTGTTGTCTCAGGCCTCCCTCCCTCAGAGGACTGGTTGCAGCCTGTGATGGGTAGTGCCTGAGATGGGGCCAGCAAAAGGGAACCCCCGCAGCGCTGGCTGACCTCCATATTGCGATGCCAGAGGTCTTGTCTGATTCCGCACTATGATTCCTGGGTCACTGTTCGCTTTAGCAACCACTGCCTGATGGAAGTCTAGAGTTAGACTCATACCTCACTCAGGCCCCTAAACCCTCATCCCAACAGGAGGACCAGTTTACAGCTGTGCCAGCATCTGCTATATGGGGCCCTGCCTAACTCCTGGCCTTTGCCTGCCTTCTCCCCTCATGGGGAAGTCTGTTTGACCCACTGAAGTGCATGCCACCAAAGGGCCTTTCTCTGTCAGGAAGAAAGGAATCTGTTCACGTAAAAATATGGAAAAATTCTGGCAGAGTTCCAGTTAGTTTTAAAGACTCCTAAAGGACATCCAGCCTGTGGTGCTCCCTAACCAAGCCAATAGGCCACCCTTTTCCTTCCTATGGCCCTGGTCCTCTCTGAGATGACTCCATTTTCGGAAGGCTCTGAATGTCCCCAGTACATCACGCTTGGAGTCACCCCTGTGCTGTGCGACCAGGTCTAAGCTAAGCTTGGGTTCTGGAAATCTCCTCCCTTGCCAGGCCCTAGAGTCAGGTCCACCCGCAAACTCAAAACAACACAAGGTGACACAAGCCAAGTCGACTCAGGCCAGTTCTACTCAACTCAACTCGATGTACGCTTACTGCCTGTCTTTCTGTCTACTCCTTGCCACCCCCAGCCAGGCTCTGGCTGGGGGAAAGTTGGAATCTGACAGTTAGCAAGACGCACCCTTTGCTCTCAAGGTGTTTTCTACTTTGAGCCTAGATTCAACACTCAAAATTTCCTTGAGCTGAGGGAATCCCTTCCACAGGGGCCACAGGAAGAGCTTCTCTTTCTGGCCCGGAGACAGCCCAACCAGCCCTTCATTTCCAAGCCCTTAACCCCACAAGGCTTCTCAAATGACCCTCCTGGATTTGCATGACTTCAAAACTTCAGAATGTAGAGTCAGTTGGTCCCTCACCCTTTAGGATCTGGTTCATGTGGGGCCTGAGCATCTTCATTCATTTTTTCATTCACAAACCTCATTGAGCGCTCATATGGGAAAGACACCTTACAGACATTATATCATCTAATTCTCAGCAATCAGTGTGGGTGGAGAACCATTAAGAGGTCAGCTAGGTTGTAACCCAGTCCGAATCCCACAGCTCATGCTCTTCCCACCTCATCCCACCGTCTCTTAGAACAATTGAATGGAATCCATAATGAAGGACAGAGATCACTGAATGCTTAAACAAACACATGCTGTATGGAGGGAAGGAGTGGATTCATGAATATTTTATGAAAGGCGAAATCCCACTTGACCAGCTTAGTAGACTGCTTCGAGAAATGGACTATATACGGAGATAAAGGGCGACTTTCACAAAAAGCCTTTGTCGAGTTTCCATCCCAAAGCCTATTAATAAAATTGATTCATTATAGAATTGGGCAGAGGTGGGTGGGGAGTGGGAGGGAGTCTATTTTTGCATGGATAGACAACTGGCTTAGAGACAAGAAAGGGAGGGTGGAGATAACTGGGTGCTTTTTCAAACGGAGAACTGGGGTTCCCCAGGAACTGGCACTGAGTTTGGCCTTACGTAACACTCAGTGCACGTGCGTGAGCACCCAGTGTGTGCGCGTCCTGCAGCAAACGTGAGGGATGCCCAAACAAGCCAGAGTCAGCCCCCCCCCCCAACTGGAGGATCCCAGGGAAGGGAGTGCTCAGTGACAACTTCAAGTTTACAGAGGACAGGACGCTCCTGAGGGCTGAAATGGCAGGACACTGGAGAGAAACTGAAGAAGGTTGCTGCAGGATGGCAGAGTGCCCCAGACAGCAATCAGAAAATTTGAGTTCTGGGACCTGCACTGTCGCTGACTTGCTGTGTGACACTAGGCAAGACCCTTCCCTCTCTGGGTCTCAGTTTTTGTTCCTATACAATGAAGAAATTGGACAGGATGATTTTTAAGGGTGTGGTGTTCTGGATGGAGGACAATGACTTGATATAGGATTGGTTATGGTTATGAGAAAGTCTCCATACATTGTGGCCACCATGTCTCCTTCCGCCCCTGTGCTGTGTGAGGAGACCACTCTCTTTGTCTCTCTCACTTGTGAACAGTGAGGATGAGGCAAAGAGCCATGAGGTCTGTGATGCTGGGGCTGGGAGCCCAGCCTGGAATCCCTCTGTGGCATTCTCTGCGAGTGACTCAGCGTCGTAAATAGCTCCCATCTGGATGAGCAGCGATATCTATAGCGATCGAGCGATCTCTGTATCCACACACTCTCTCTCTGTGCAAATATGTGGCTCACTGTATGCTAAATACGTGGTGGCCTGGAGACGTTCCTCCTCTTAAAAGACTCTTTGGTATGAAACTCAAGACTGTTTATTTAAAGAAACAAGTTTACAACTATGCACGTTGGATTACTGGTAGTGGGTGGTGGGGAAGAGGCGATGTGGATGAAAGGATGCTGGGTATGACCCAAGCTTGGGGGCCACCTGGAAGAGGAACCAAGGCTGACTGGTCCACCTTTCATCTTTTTGTCTGCCACAGGGGAAAGCATAACTGACATCACGCACGAGATGCTTGGATCCCGGGGTAGGGGTGCAAGGGGAGTGCTGTACTGGTTCCTCAGTGCAGAAAACCACAGATCAGCAGAAAAGCACAGGAGCTGGGAGTGAGAGGAGAGCCAGCTTCCAGCCCTGCTCTGCCCAGCCATCGATCTTGGGCAATTCAAAAATTCACTCATTCATTCATCAAACAAGTACCAACTGCCTATAAGGTGCAGAGACCACGTGGGGATACAGACAAGAATAAGTGGGTTGGAGTTCAGGTTTAGCTGTAGGACTTCAGGCAAGCCCTTTTCCCTCTCTGTTCTTCAGTTGTCTCCTCTGTAAACTGGGGATAATACCGCCCTAAGGATTTGGGGAGCATCATTGAATACGGTAGCGCACGCGAGGAAGTGCTTCTCTGTTGTAACACGAGCTAAAACCATTCTAACACGCTGCCAGATCGACCCATCTCATGCCCGGTTAGGAGTGCTCTCGGCGACTGCACAGGGGAAGTGACATCATGGCTCCCTTCAGCAGCAGGGGGGTGGGGCACTCTGAACGCTGCCCATGGGTGTGACCCTGGGCAGCATCCTTACCTTTGCTTCCTGGCCAAGCTGTGATGCAGAAGCTTTCAGTCACCGAGCAGAGCAGGTAGCATCCCAGGGGTGCACAACTTCCTGGAGGAAGAGAGAGGGTATTAAGAGCTGAGGGGAGAGAGCTTCATGGGGAGTTGGCTTCCTGAACGGGCATCGGACCCCGGACACCTCCGAGGGCACGCCTTTGCCTCTGCTGAGGCCACACTAATCCTCTGGGTTCCAGCAAAGCGCAGGGCGGGATGGGGCCCTGCCCGGCAACAGATCCCCCCTGACCCCATGTCACCTACCCATGATGGCAATTGCCCATCTCGATCATGGGGTCAGGCAGCACTTGTATGGCACCACTGACTGCACTGCTTTCTGGCTTAGCTGTGATTTCTGACCGATGTCAGTGGGCGGGATTTATTGCCAGTCACACCTGGGTTTGAATTTTGGCTTTAGGGAAATCCATTATATCTCCCTGAGCCTCAGTTTCTTCATGTATAAAATGGGGCTACTAATAGCACCAGCCTTACACACCAAGCGCTGATAAGTGCTTGTCGTTAGATTCGGTGGTGGTGTTAAATAAGATAACGGATGTCATCTACTACATGGCAGTCTCTCCAGTCCTAGTTACAGTCCTCTGCTTTCTCCTAGGAGAAACCAAGCACTTCTGAAAAGGCCAAGGATACCCCATAATTGTTCACTGACTGAGCATCGCTCAACACATTTGCTAGACTTGCTTTCTCATAGTCAGGAGCAATGAGGTCGCTGTCCCACTCGCATCTTATAGATCAGGACACAGGTGCCCAGAGAGGAAATGATCTGCTCCGTTCACACAGCGAGTCTGGAGCCCGGTGAGAGCACATAAGCCTCGCTCCCTCCACCCTGCTGCAGTCCGCTCCTCCCCCGGCTGGGCGCCAAGGCCTCCCAACGGCGGCGGCGGCGGGGACCTGCAATGTTCCCTCTGGGGGCATGAGCACCTCCTCCTGGAATGTCTTCTCTTTCTCCCCTAACCATGGTCCTGCTCACTGTGATCCAGGAAGCGGGGATTCCGGTCTCACCCACAGAGGTGAGGACGGGGATTTGCCCCGGATCACAGAGATGGTATGCGGCAATGCAGAGCGGGCATTCCAGCAGATCAGCTGACTCGAGGCCCTTTGCGTGACTGGGGGTCTCCGGGACCACCCTGGGTACCACAGCACCTAACCTTGCTGCCCCGCCCCCGCCACCTCCGAACTCAGTCTCCTCCCAATCTTGATCCCTCTACTGGGCTAGGAGCTCAGAGGGGCAGGCCCCTGCCGCTGCTTCCCCAGAGCCTGGCACTTAGCAGGGCTTGATAAATAACTGCAGAGCGAGCGAGTGAATGAACAAGTAAATAAGAGGCCGAATGGCTGCGCCTGGCCATGTTCTAAATGCTGGTGACACGACAGTGAAAGGGCAGGCCTGCTCCCTGCTCTCAGGGCGCTGACAGTATTTGAATTTTAAACTAGCAGCTGGGTTGGAAACAGGGCAGAGTTTTCTGGCTGATGAGGTGGGGAAATGGGGAGGGAGGGGATGCAGGTGGAGCCTGCTGACATCTCTGAGCAAATGACAGCCTCGCTGGCCTCAGGCAGGGTCACCTGTGTGCTGGGTTGGAAGCTGACCTTTAAGCAGACCGGGAAAGACAGGTAGGTGGTGCAACTAAGTGTTCCCTGTCTACCAACTGCTGAGTCCCAAAGACCTAGCATGTTGCCTGGCACGTACTTGGTACTTAATAAGTTTTGTTCAGTGGATGAACGGTGGGCAGGGTATGTTGAGATGACACAAGTCTAAGGGCTTGTGGGCATACGGAGTGTTAACCATCAGAATTATTATGACTTACACTCGAATGGGGCTTCGCTGTCTACAGAAGCCCCTTCACATCGTGGTGGTTACTCTCACTGAGCACGTGAGAGACCTGTTCAGGACACATTGACCAGTGAGCCCTCGGTGCTGGGCGCCAGTGGTGTGGATGGAAACAGCAGGGCGACACCAGCAGTTTCAGTACCTGTGTTGTGTCAAGCCCTTCACATCCACAATCCCTGGTACTCTCAATAGCCTGGCAAGGCCAAGGCCATCCTCCCCATCACCCACACGGAGGCTCAGAGAAGTCTTGCTCTTGCATGGTGGGAACCCGTGTTTATTCTAGAAGTGAGATGTAAAAAGCTCACAGCCTAACAGGGAAAGCTGATCGTTAAAACACGATGTGACATCCACCCAAAGGCAGGTTTGTCAGAGGTGACTCACTGCCAGGAGGCAGCAGGGAGGGCTTCTCTGAGAGGGTGAGTTGGGCGCTGAGGCTTAGAGGACAGTGGAGCAGGAAGGGCTTTCCAGGCAGGAGGAACAGCATCTGCAAAGGCGTGGAGGGAGCATGGTCCACCCAGGCACCTGGAGGAATTTGGTTCGGTCAAAGCCTTGGGGAGAAGGATGAGGCGGGGAGGTGGCTGAGGCCAGTTAGGAGGGGCGAAATTGAGTCCGCGTCACCCCGAGAGTGAGGGAGGGCACTGCAGGGCTTGGCTTGGTGCTCCAGAGAGCTCCTTCTGGCAGCAAGGTTGGCTGGGTGAGGGGGGTGGGAGGAGTCAGTGGCAGGACTTGTGCTTGATGAGGTGGAGGGTCGAGGGAAAATCGACAGCCTCCTGGCTTGGGTGATATTTGGAGGGTGGAGATGGTCGGGGGCGGGGGTCTGTGACAGTGAACCTCCCTGTTTGCTGACCCCCACTATGGAGTTAGAGCTCCTCCCCCAGCTCCCAAGAAGCTCACAGTGGCAGGTCCTGGTCTCTGTTCCCGCTCCAGCCCCAGCCTAGCCCTCCTCTGCCACCTGACTGTGTCCTAGCAGCCTCGCAGGCCTCACCTTGGCAACTCCAGCCTCTGAGCTCCTTAGATCGGTCTGGAATGGAAAGAGGAACTGGAGTGCCTGCTGCCCACTGGACCCGCCCGGAGAACTGGCCCCGGCCGCCAGCAGCCTGCGCCTCTGGGCCCATCAGGTGGAGGCTGGTCTGTCAGATGAAGGACGTGGGTCTGGACACTGGACATGACATTCCACTGGGGACCTCGTGAGCTGGGTTCTGGCCTCAGGGCTGGTGCTCTGTCTGAGTGACCTCGGACAAGTCTCTTCCCCTCCGCAGGGCTCAGTTTTCCCTTCTGTAAACCCAAGAGGCTGGACAACACCATCTCCAGAGTCTAATATTGTCTGATTCCATTTTTTTCCCCCATCTTTTCCATGGTGATTGGTCAGAGGCTCTTTTGCTGGCATGGATTTTACTGTCAGGCTCCAGGGATTTAAATCCTGGCTTGCTTGGCCAAGTCATTCCACGTTTCTGAGCCTAGATCATTTTCCTCTGTAAAGCAAACAAATCCTGTGCTATCTCACCCAGAAGGCTGAGAGTCAGATGAACTGGTCTGAACAAAGGTGCTTTATGAGTGGCAGAGAGCTACCCAAATGTCCCCTATATGATCACATGTGCTGTGCTGCAACCCAGCACGTTAATTATAAATTAATTAATGATGTATTACATCACACCCTCCTCCACCAGCAAGAACAACAAAATAGATAAATAAACCCAATTGCCCCCATCCCACCACAAAAAAAACTTGACCATTTAAAACTTAACGAGATGGCCACCGGAGTCTCTTTTCTCCATCCTGAGTTTTTCCTCTTGTCTGAGGTCAGGATGGAACTCAGGGTTTGGTGAGCATCTTCAGTATCCCGAGAGTTGACCAGCTTCTCTGACTTTCAAGAATATGCCCATCCCCCGGGGCCTTGTTAAAATGCAGATTCTGATTCAGTGGGTCTGGGAAGCAACGGAGAGTCTCCATTTCTAGCAAGCTCCCAGGAGATGCTGGTATGACTGGTCTGGGGGTCACATTTTGCTAGAGGGCTTTACATATTATCTTCTTGAAACCTGGGGACCAGATCTTACTAGCCGCAGGGTTACGGATGGGGAAACAGAGGCTTGAGAAGCAACATGCCCCACCACATACAAGGGGTGTGACTGAACCGCCTGACATTACGCAGGGCCCCGGGTGCAGCCCAAGCGTCGCCTTCTGGCGGCGTGGTCCTTGCTTGGACTTGTGTGCCTCCGCAATTGAGGTGGCCAGAGATCTCTGAAGCCCTTGCTAAGAACTGTTTCTTTCAGTTTGTCACGCGCAGACTACCCCTGGATGCTGGCTCCCAGTGGGAACAGGGTCCTGGCCCAGGCAGTGTCCCTGCAGCTGAGTGAACATCTCAGGGTCAGGATTGAATGCTGCACACATATGACTCATCCTTCAACCTGACTCTTTTGGAATCCTGTCTTTATTTGAGAAATGTTGTATTTTATCATCATGGATTTTTTTGCATTAATCTTATTTGTTAGACAAAACATTATTTGTCTTGATGACTGAAGTTTTCAGCATCTCCTTGCATTTTGCACCTGGGGTAGGTGCCTCTCTTCCCTGCCTCACCCCAGTCCAGGCTGGCCCTGTGTCTTCTCTGTCCCTCTCCCGCCTCATGGCATTAGGATGCTGCCTGTGAGGCACCGCAGGGCCCACCCGGCAGCCAGCCAGCTGATGGATTTATTTCCCAGCAGGGGAATCCATCACTTTGCTTGCCCTTTGGCTGACCTGTTATACAGATGGCAGCAGGGACTGTGAGCCTGAAGGGGCTCCAGAGGATCACTCTGACGTGGGCTTTGCCACATCAGGCCCCTTATCTGTGGGGTGGTGGAGGGAAATGACTCTGATTTGAGATTTTGCCACCACTCTGCCTCAACCAGTCTTCAGAGCACTGCCTGCTCTGGCCCCGGTCAACCTCTCTGCCCTCTTCTCTACCACCCTCCCCCTCGCTCACTAGGTTTCTGTCCTGTAACCTTGTCAGGCTTATTCCTACCCCAGGACCTTTGCACTTTCTGCCTGGACACTTGTTTCATGGCCAGCTGCTTCTCTCCATCCAGATGTCAGCTTCAATGCCTCTTTCTTCCATGTCTCCCCTGCCTGCCTCATGTAAACAGCTCCCACCTCCTTGGCACACCTCCTCTTTTATTTCCTTCCTAGCACTTACGTAACTTGGAATTATATTTGTTTACTTGCTCGCTGCCTGTCTT